AGGAGGCCGGTCCCCGTGCCCCTCCCGAGTCCCCAGCAGGAGGCCGGTCCCCGTCCGTGCCCCTCCCGAGTCCCCAGCAGGAGGCCGGTCCCCGTGCCCCTCCCGAAGTCCCCAGCAGGGAGGCCCGGTCCCCGTGCCCCTCCCGAGTCCCCAGCAGGAGCCGGTCCCCGTGCCCCTCCCGAGTCCCCAGCAGGAGGCCGGTCCCCCGTGCCCCTCCGAGTCCCCAGCAGGAGGCCGGTCCCCGTGCCCCTCCCGAGTCCCCAGCAGGAGGCCGGTCCCCGTGCCCCTCCCGAGTCCCCAGCAGGAGGCGGTCCCCGAGCCCCTCCCGATCCCCCGGTCCCCCGTGCCCCTCCCGAGTCCCCAGCAGGAGGCCAGGTCCCCGTGCCCCTCCCGAGTCCCCAGCAGGAGGCCGGTCCCCGTGCCCCTCCCGAGTCCCCAGCAGGAGGCCGGTTCCCCGTGCCCCTCCCGAGTCCCCCAGCAGGAGGCCGGTATCCGGTCCCCGTGCCCCTCCCGAGTCCCCCAGGAGGCCGGTCCCCGTGCCCCTCCCGAGTCCCCAGCAGGTCCCCGTGTCCCGAGTCCCCAGCAGGAGGCCGGTCCCCGAGCCCCGGTCCCGAGTCCCCAGCAGGAGGCCGGTGCCCCCCCGAGTACCCCGTCCCCGTGCCCCTCCCGAGTCCCCAGCAGGAGGCCGGTCCCCGTGCCCCTCCCGAGTCCCCAGGAGGCCGGTCCCGTGCCCCTCCCGAGTCCCCAGCAGGAGGCCGGTCCCCGAGCCCGGTCCCCGTGCCCCTCCCGAGTCCCCAGCAGGAGGCCGGTCCCCGAGCCCGGTCCCCGTGCCCCTCCCGAGTCCCCAGCAGGAGGCCGGTCCCCGAGCCCGGTCCCCGTGCCCCTCCCGAGTCCCCAGCAGGAGGCCGGTCCCCGAGCCCGGTCCCCGTGCCCCTCCCGAGTCCCAGCAGGAGGCCGGTCCCCGAGCCCGGTCCCCGTGCCCCTCCCGAGTCCCCAGCAGGAGGCCGGTCCCCGAGCCCGGTCCCCGTGCCCCTCCCGAGTCCCCAGCAGGAGGGCCGGTCCCCTGAGCCCGGTCCCCGTGCCCCTCCCGAGTCCCCAGCAGGAGGCCGGTCCCCGAGCCCGGTCCCCGTGCCCCTCCCGAGTCCCCAGCAGGAGGCCGGTCCCCGAGCCCGGTCCCCGTGCCCCTCCCGAGTCCCCAGCAGGAGGCCGGTCCCCGAGCCCGGTCCCCGTGCCCCTCCCGAGTCCCCAGCAGGAGGCCGGTCCCCGAGCCCGGTCCCCGTGCCCCTCCCGAGTCCCCAGCAGGAGGCCGGTCCCCGAGCCCGGTCCCCGTGCCCCTCCCGAGTCCCCAGCAGGAGGCCGGTCCCCGAGCCCGGTCCCCGTGCCCCTCCCGAGTCCCCAGCAGGAGGCCGGTCCCCGAGCCCGGTCCCCGTGCCCCTCCCGAGTCCCCAGCAGGAGGCCGGTCCCCGAGCCCGGTCCCCGTGCCCCTCCCGAGTCCCCAGCAGGAGGCCGGTCCCCGAGCCCGGTCCCCGTGCCCCTCCCGAGTCCCCAGCAGGAGGCCGGTCCCCGAGCCCGGTCCCCGTGCCCCTCCCGAGTCCCCAGCAGGAGGCCGGTCCCCGAGCCCGGTCCCCCGTGCCCCTCCCGAGTCCCCAGCAGGAGGCCGGTCCCCGAGCCCGGTCCCCGTGCCCCTCCCGAGTCCCCAGCAGGAGGCCGGTCCCCGAGCCCGGTCCCCGTGCCCCTCCCGAGTCCCCAGCAGGAGGCCGGTCCCCGAGCCCGGTCCCCGTGCCCCTCCCGAGTCCCCAGCAGGAGGCCGGTCCCCCGAGCCCGGTCCCCGTGCCCCTCCCGAGTCCCCAGCAGGAGGCCGGTCCCCGAGCCCGGTCCCCGTGCCCCTCCCGAGTCCCCAGCAGGAGGCCGGTCCCCGAGCCCGGTCCCCGTGCCCCTCCCGAGTCCCCAGCAGGAGGCCGGTCCCCGAGCCCGGTCCCCGTGCCCCTCCCGAGTCCCCAGCAGGAGGCCGGTCCCCGAGCCCGGTCCCCGTGCCCCTCCCGAGTCCCCAGCAGGAGGCCGGTCCCCGAGCCCGGTCCCCGTGCCCCTCCCGAGTCCCCAGCAGGAGGCCGGTCCCTGAGCCCGGTCCCCGTGCCCCTCCCGAGTCCCCAGCAGGAGGCCGGTCCCTGAGCCCGGTCCCCGTGCCCCTCCCGAGTCCCCAGCAGGAGGCCGGTCCCTGAGCCCGGTCCCCGTGCCCCTCCCGAGTCCCCAGCAGGAGGCCGGTCCCTGAGCCCGGTCCCCGTGCCCCTCCCGAGTCCCCAGCAGGAGGCCGGTCCCTGAGCCCGGTCCCCGTGCCCCTCCCGAGTCCCCAGCAGGAGGCCGGTCCCTGAGCCCGGTCCCCGTGCCCCTCCCGAGTCCCCAGCAGGAGGCCGGTCCCTGAGCCCGGTCCCCGTGCCCCTCCCGAGTCCCCAGCAGGAGGCCGGTCCCCGAGCCCGGTCCCCGTGCCCCTCCCGAGTCCCCAGCAGGAGGCCGGTCCCCGAGCCCGGTCCCCGTGCCCCTCCCGAGTCCCCAGCAGGAGGCCGGTCCCCGAGCCCGGTCCCCGTGCCCCTCCCGAGTCCCCAGCAGGAGCCGGTCCCCGAGCCCGGTCCCCGTGCCCCTCCCGAGTCCCCGCAGGAGCCCGGTCCCCGAGCCCGGTCCCCGTGCCCCTCCCGAGTCACCGCAGGAGCCCGGTCCCCGAGCCCGGTCCCCGTGCCCCTCCCGAGTCACCGCAGGAGCCCGGTCCCCGAGCCCGGTTCCCGTGCCCCTCCCGAGTCACCGCAGGAGGCCGGTCCCCGAGCCCGGTCCCCCGTGCCCCTCCCGAGTCCCCAGCAGGAGCCCGGCCCGACCCGGTCCCCGTGCCCCTCCCGAGTCCCCAGCAGGAGGCCGGTCCCCGTGCCCCTCCCCGTGCCCCCCCGAGTCCCCAGCAGGAGCCGGTCCCCGAGCCCCGGTCCCCCGTGCCCCTCCCGAGTCCCCAGCAGGAGGCCGGTCCCCGTGCCCCTCCCCCGTGCCCCTCCCGAGTCCCCAGCAGGAGCCCGGTCCCCGAGCCGTCCCCGTGCCCCTCCCGAGTCCCCAGCAGGAGCCCGGTCCGAGCCCGGTCCCCGTGCCCCTCCCGAGTCACCCAGGAGCCGGTCCCGAGCCCGGTCCCCGTGCCCCTCCCGAGTCCCCAGCAGGAGCCCGGTCCCCGTGCCCTGCCCCTGCCCCCGAGTCCCCAGCAGGAGCCCGGTCCCCGTGCCCCTCCCGAGTCCCCAGCAGGAGCCCGGTCCCCGTGCCCCTCCCGAGTCCCCAGCAGGAGCCCGGTCCCCGTGCCCCTCCCGAGTCCCCAGCAGGAGCCCGGTCCCCGTGCCCCTCCCGAGTCCCCAGCAGGAGCCCGGTCCCCGTGCCCCTCCCGAGTCCCCAGCAGGAGCCCGGTCCCCGAGCCCGGTCCCCGTGCCCCTCCCGAGTCACCGCAGGAGCCCGGTCCCCGAGCCCGGTCCCCGTGCCCCTCCCGAGTCCCCAGCAGGAGGCCGGTCCCCGTGCCCCTCCCCCGTGGCCCCTCCCGAGTCCCCAGCAGGAGGCCGGTCCCCGTGCCCCTCCCCCGTGCCCCTCCCGAGTCCCCAGCAGGAGGCCGGTCCCCGTGCCCCTCCCCCCTGCCCCCCCCGGAGTCACCGCAGGAGCCCGGTCCCTGAGCCCGGTCCCCGTGCCCCTCCCGAGTCCCCAGCAGGAGCCCGGTCCCCGTGCCCCTCCCGAGTCCCCAGCAGGAGCCCGGTCCCCGTGCCCCTCCCGAGTCCCCAGCAGGAGCCCGGTCCCCGTGCCCCTCCCGAGTCCCCAGCAGGAGCCCCGGTCCCCGTGCCCCTCCCGAGTCCCCAGCAGGAGCCCGGTCCCCGTGCCCCTCCCGAGTCCCCAGCAGGAGCCCGGTCCCCGTGCCCCTCCCGAGTCCCCAGCAGGAGCCCGGTCCCCGTGCCCCTCCCGAGTCCCCAGCAGGAGCCCGGTCCCCGTGCCCCTCCCGAGTCCCCAGCAGGAGCCCGGTCCCCGTGCCCCTCCCGAGTCCCCAGCAGGAGCCCGGTCCCCGTGCCCCTCCCGAGTCCCCAGCAGGAGCCCGGTCCCCGTGCCCCTCCCGAGTCCCCAGCAGGAGCCCGGTCCCCGTGCCCCTCCCGAGTCCCCAGCAGGAGCCCGGTCCCCGTGCCCCTCCCGAGTCCCCAGCAGGAGCCCGGTCCCCGTGCCCCTCCCGAGTCCCCAGCAGGAGCCCGGTCCCCGTGCCCCTCCCGAGTCCCCAGCAGGAGCCCGGTCCCCGTGCCCCTCCCGAGTCCCCAGCAGGAGCCCGGTCCCCGTGCCCCTCCCGAGTCCCCAGCAGGAGCCCGGTCCCCGTGCCCCTCCCGAGTCCCCAGCAGGAGCCCGGTCCCCGTGCCCCTCCCGGAGTCCCCAGCAGGAGCCCGGTCCCCGTGCCCCTCCCGAGTCCCCAGCAGGAGCCCGGTCCCCGTGCCCCTCCCGAGTCCCCAGCAGGAGCCCGGTCCCCGTGCCCCTCCCGAGTCCCCAGCAGGAGCCCGGTCCCCGTGCCCCTCCCGAGTCCCCAGCAGGAGCCCGGTCCCCGTGCCCCTCCCGAGTCCCCAGCAGGAGCCCGGTCCCCGTGCCCCTCCCGAGTCCCCAGCAGGAGCCCGGTCCCCGTGCCCCTCCCGAGTCCCCAGCAGGAGCCCGGTCCCCGTGCCCCTCCCGAGTCCCCGCAGGAGTCCGGGATCTGGAGTCATATGGAACTTAAGTCACAGGTGTAAAGAAATGAGGAATTGATGAAAAGTCATGCCTACAAAATACAGACATTTATCAAACATATTGGATCTTGAAATGTCTGAGAGGCGTTTTATTTTCTGTTCTCTGTGTTCGACCTGAAGGGCTCGTGTTTGAAATCACGTTTGAAGTGGGACCTCAGATCGCGGCGTCGTGGTGCAAACATATGAGCTCCTCTGCTGTGACTCACGCCTCCTCCTCTCTCTCTCTTTGCTCTCGCACAGGTGGCCGTAAAGAACAACATTGACGTCTTCTACTTCAGCTGCCAGTATCCCATGAGCGTGCTGTTCAGCGAGGACGGCAAGATGGGTGAGTGCGCGCCTCCTTCACCTCCGCCAACAATAGGGGTTCGTAAAGAAGTCGTGGCGGCCGTGCAGAGTTGAACATTACGATTATCTGTATTTAGGTTGTAAGGGACCGATGGTGCAGCAGGAAACGGTACAAAACTGTTTGAATCTTTTTAGGCTTTTTAATTAGACAAAACATTTAATTCACTTTTTATTTAACTTCATAGTAAGTAATCTTTATTCATATACCGCCTTTCACAGACCAGAGTCACAAGTTGTACACGTTGTTGGGTGGTGTTTTGTAAAATGGAACTCTCAGGAAGCTGCATTAGCCTAAAGGCGGCGCCCCAAAAACAAATGCAAATAAATAAGGCCAAAATCAAATGCACGACTGATCATGACAAAAAACTGACCTAACACAAGACACAGAAGGGGAACATTTAAGCGGGGGATCAAACCAACTTTTAGCTTAAGGATGGGCAGCACGGTGGCTGAGTGGTTAGCTCTCTCGCTTCTCAGCAAGAAGGTCCTGGGTCCGAATCCCAGTCGGAACAGGGCCTTTCTGAGTAGACTTTGCATGTTCTCCCCGTGTCTGCGTAGGTTTCCTCCGGGTGCTCCGGTTTCCCCTACCACTAAAAACATGCAAAACAGGTCTGAATGTAAATGAGAGAGTGAATGGATGGTGTTGGAGCTGATGGTCCAGTGTGTTCTGGACTCGCTTCTGTCATCACCGTGTGTGGAAGGATTGGAACAATATCTGACTCTGAACATTGTAAAGTGCTTTGGGTGACCTTGGTCTGTAAAATGCGCTATATAAATAAACCTTACTTACTAAGGATAATTAAAGTAAATAACCTTAGCAATAATAATGATAATCATAATAATATGGGCAACTTGGGTCTAACTGTGAATAAACGGATAAACTTAAATAGATTTGTTTGAGCAGCACAGGGGGAAAAAACGTTAAAAAAAACACATGAAAACATAAATGTCAGACAGTAACATGACATATGATATGAAGTGGAACCCATACACACATGAACAAAATACAACAATATAAGCTCAAACACCAAAGTTCATATCACCAACAAGCTACAGAGAGTTCAGTTATAGCTGTTGGGACAAAAGATTTTAATTGACGATTGTGTTTATAACTATACTAATATATTAAAAAAAATATATATATGTTGGTATTTGGACAAAATCAAGTTACATATATTTTTTTAATAATTGAAATAATATATAACAAAAATGCTTCATGCTCGGACAGAATCAAAACTGGATAAAAGTAAAGTCATGTTGTCGCAGATAAGTGTTTTCTTCACTCCTTTTCTAACTGTAAATATAACTGTTTATTTTGCATCTTGTTTATTTCAGTCATGCGTGTGTTCAGGTTTTGTATAAAAAAGAATAACTGGGCATGTGCTGCTTCCCTCCACAGATAGTAAAGTGTTCCTGGTCACATGGAAAGACATCCCCAACGACAACGAGACCCAGTTCCAGATCAAAGACTGCCACCTCAACGCAGGTATGAACTCTGATGGGCCATACGTCTGTGCTCCCAGCCTTTATGGACGACCTGCGCCATTAGATCAGTTTACTCTCGTGGTTAGTGGTTTCCGGATATGTAAACACAGATGGGACGATTGGATGATGCAATGAAAAGTGTTTGTGTTTTCATTTAGATTATCTGAAAAATGGCTTTGAACTAGAGGTGCACTGATCAGGACTGAGCTGACCACAGAAAAAAATCAGATGGACCAATTTGCATTTTCAAAAAGTGAATCAATGATGTCAGGACTCTTCTCTGCACCCCTCAAACACACAAACAATTATATGTTCTTTTATCCGTGTGTGTGTGTGTGTGTGTGATGCCTCCAGCTGCATAGTTTTTGTGACGAGGCTTCAGTTACGTCCTGGTTTATAGCCTTGTCCCAAACGAGCTGCCTCCTTAGCCCCGCCCACTCTGAGTTTCCATGGCGACACAGCCAATCTCAGGAACATCTTTTCATGAATGTGTGAAGTGGAGGAAACGGGAAGTGAAATCCAAATGGAATTAATTGAAATCGAAAGTCAAAAGGGCACTTACAAAACAGTAAAATATTTGGTTAAAGTCACAATCATAATAAAGGTGAAGTGATGCCTACGTTAGTTTTATCTGGTGTAGTAATTTCAGTATTGGTGATGGGTCTCAACTGGGTGCACCACCACTTTGAATGCATACATCCTGTAGTGTGTAAACCTATGAGAAAAAGTGAATGTGTGGTCCTCCTCTGTGTTGAGGAGGTATGAGTTTGTATTGTACTGAATACATTAACCCTTTTATGGTTTCCTCAACCATTGGAACTTAAATCAAAGATTACGTAACCACGGTTCTATGAATCCCAGATGACCACCAGAGAGCGGTGCATAGCTCTGAATGTTCTAATACTGTCAATCCCATAACCTCGTAAGGAAAGTCTCTAAAGACAGAAGTGCAGATGGAAGTACTGTTGTTTCTCGATCAGCCTTTGCTTCATTCTGTGTCTTTTGAGCAGATGCAGCCTCCAGTAAACTCCAGGGAGGTAACGTCTTCACCATCGCCAAGAGGACGGTGGAGGGGCAGGACATGCTGTACCAGTCCATCAAACTGTCCAACGGGATCTGGATCTTGGCCGAGCTCAAGGTGCAGACGGGGAGCCCCTTCACGGTCAGTATCTCCTGCTTCTCTACTCTACTGTAGTATGCTCCTTGTAAATGGAATAGTCTGCCTCATAGCATCAGGTGGCCTCAAACATTGAAGACTCCTTCATGGCATTTTCTATGGGATTCTCAATGTTTTTAAACCGGCTGTAACAGGTTAATTGGTTATTGAAATAGTTAATCGATTGGTCATTATTTGGACCTTGCAGAGACTTGAATTTGTTGAAGAGGTTTTCAGAATCAATTTGTGATTTATGACTTATTGCCAATATTCTTTAGCATGAACTATGTCCAATTGTGATTTTTAAGATAGTTTTAGATATTTATTTCAAACGTATGCATGTCATACAAGATAAAAATACAGAAATACAGATATACAAAGTGGTTGGACAAAGCAAAACACTTATTTGGCTCCGTACCCCCACTCATACAACACAAACACACACAACACTGATTAACTCTCTGACCCTACACCTCTGTACTGTGATTAGGACTTTCAAACTTTGTGAGATTGTGGACCTTGTGGTTTCAGTCCTGTTTTGTTAATCACTCATGTATGAACCGTGCTGTACAAATACTCTCCTTGCTCATCATACCTCCACTGTCACTGTACTTTTAGGGAACCAGTATTTTTAAAGTTACCTATTTTCTAGCCCCTTAAGACGCCCGTGATACTTTGATTTTGCTGTGTCAGGCTGCGGCAGGAGTCTGTCCCACTGACCTTGACGCTTGGATCATGTTTTCTCTCTCAAGGTGCCATTACCGCTTTGTTTGTTTCTGTCTAGACAGCACAATTTGTCAGTCACTGAAGTAGACATTTGGGGGAATGTTTATGGCTCCTAAGACTCATGTTCTACAGTGAGAGGGTTGCAACACGGACGAAATGTTGCTTCGTGGAGGAGTCAAAGCTAATCCAATCGGGATCTCGGTCAATACTTCAGTGAATGGAGACGACCAATTGACTCAGCGGGGACTGTGAGGACCATATGGTGAAGCCGATGCAGACGGCTGGGAGTGAGCTGCTGATCTCTGGGTAAATTTGAGTGATTTCAGAGCGACAATTTCATATGAAGACAAGGAACTCGACTGGATGCATAATATTTACACGTTTTATGTAAAGTCATCTTGTCTGAGCTGCTACAACATTGTTCCATCTTCAAAAACAGACCGGGATTTGTTTTAGCTCAAACAAATCTACCCAAAAGCTCCTTTTTCAAACTCGCGATGACAAAAGTGAATGTCAAAGTCAAACCGTGTTCTTTACATCGGCTTTCCCTCAAAATCTAATATGGTGTGAATAGAATATAGTTCTTTTACCACCAGATTGAAGTATCGGAACATTTTAGTCAACCGTTATTTACAACCTTTTTTTCACAGATGTGTGGTTGTAAACTAATTTCTTCTGACCAATTGCCAAAACCTGGAGGAAACACAAGCGTTTCAGACGAGAGCATTCAGACAGAAAGAATGAGGGGGAATTGTTTGTGCCAGAACTTATATTTCTGTGGTTTTTGTGACAATTAGACCCCTGAGGCCCACGTAATCAGAGGCATTCCGTGCCAACAAGCAAGGCAGGCAGCTGCCTGGGGCCCCCAAACCGGCAGGGGGCCCCCGAGGACCTACTGATTTGACACAAGCGGTTGACTTGTACAGGTGACTTTTCGTCTGATGCTAAACTTTCCACGTTCTTCATTGACGGTTAAAAACCTGTCTGGGGCAGTCTTCATATTGAAAGAACCAGTGGTCAGTGGTTAAGGTGCAGCACTGGTAACACGGTGACTCAGGTTCAAGTCTGAGCGGGAGCAGTTTTCTGGATCAAACTATATATTCTATTAAATGACAGATTGCTCAAGAACGGTAGAAGGTAAAAACCAAGCCGTTTTTTGCAGATTAAAACTAAGAGCCTAATCATTCATTTAGACTTCATAAACACTGAGGGCCAAATGAAAGAATAGATTTTGTAGGATTAATAGGATTTGATAGGTAGTTTTTGTAATTGATTATAACATGATGCAGTGAACAAGCTCATTTAAAGAAATGCTAAATTATTTCTCATTGCTTTGTGTCACGATAAGTTCTGAAGTGTTCACAATGTTCTGTGGTAGACTATACAGTCTGCCAGGCAGGCCCCAGGCAGGCCCCAGGTCTATTCATTTATTGTTAAAAATAAGATATTATCTACATTTAATTTATATTAATGTAAACAAGTAATAGATATTGTGTTTTACCTTATTTATAAATATATATTCAGTGTTTCCCACACATAGACTAATCTGTGGCGCACCGCCACAGATTAGAGACCGCCCGCCACAAATTGCGTTTCGTATTATTATATATATTTTTTTTTTGTTACGCTATTTAAAACATGCATCGTCTAGTGCCGCCGCAGCGGTCAATTTGACAGCGGGGAGGGGGGTTTAAAATGTGGCGGCCCTTCGTAACTCTCACTCAAGCTACGCGTCTCTCCCACATACAGAGACCTACACACACACCGCCCCTCCCCTTCGTGCACACCGCGTGTCTCCGTCTCCATCAGCGATCATCGCTGTAAGCAGCTGTGTCTATTAATTTACCGCGGTAAAGTGGCCCGCATCTTTCAGCTCTATGAACATGCGGCCCGCATCGGGGAAAAGACGGTGCGCGTTTTGTTGAGAAACTTACGGTAACAGCGGAACGTCCTTTCGGAGTCACCCATTTTTATCGAACAGAAAGCGCGCTGGGGTCAGGGAGACACGTTTTTGTGATTAAAACCTTATAGAGATGCCACCCGGCACACATAGCACCAGCCCCCTACGATTCCTCCGGCAGATTGTGAGTCCTCAGGAGGATAGCCACTCTATTGTTTACATGTATAAAGTACACAATTTGGTCCGCTAGTGCAATTTTCAAGTATTGTAACTATTTACTGGAATAAGGTGTGCGACTAATTTCACTTGACTCATGAGCTTATTATTGCCCTCTACCACTGTACCAAAGACCAGAAACTTTTACTGTAGAAATATTGAGAAATATTGAGGTAAAGTAGCCATTTTGGTCCAAAATACCTCCAAAATAGTCAAAACATGTCACTTTTGATCTACTGTAACTTTTTACTGTAAAAAGGTGTGCGACTAATTTCACTGGATTCATGACCTCAAGATTGTCCTCTACCACTGTACCAAAGACCAGACACTTTTACTGTAGAAATATTGATTTAAAGTAGCCATTTTGGTCCAAAATAGCCTAAAAATGGTCAAAACATGTCACATTTGATCTACTGTAACTTTTCACTGTAAAAAGGTGTGCAACTGATTTCACTGGATTCATGACCTCAACATTGCCTTCTACCACTGTACCAAAGACCAGACACTTTTACTGTAGAAATATTGAGAAATATTGAGGTAAAGTAGCCATTTTGGTCCAAAATACCTCCAAAATAGTCAAAACATGTCACTTTTGATCTACTGTAACTTATTACTGTAAAAAGGTGTGCGACTAATTTCACTGGATTCATGACCTCAAGATTGTCCTCTACCACTGTACCACTGTACCCCCCCCCCCCCCCCCCGCCGACGACACCACACACATTGCCTTCAAACCTGTGGGAAACACTGATATTTATACCTACTGTAATATAAACCTTTATATGTGGTCGGTATCGGGGCCCCCAAGGACTCTGTTGCCTGGGCCCCGGGGTACCCTTGGAACGCCTCTGCCCGTAATTGTTTTTTTAAAAACTATTCTCGCCCACCAGAACTTGATTTTTGATGATTATTATTATATACAAATTCTTAAGTTACTGACATTACCTTTTAAGGCGATGGATCTTACATTTGGAAGGGTAAATTATTATTGACATCTGAATCTAAAATTAAAATGCCCCTGTTTTACTTGTGCACACTCTTCAGATGACTGTGTCTTGGAGTCACGGCTCGTCTCAGTTCTTCTGTCTGGTCCAAACTGCGCTTACATAACAGAATACACACAGCTTTATCACACACTATTCTTCTCGTCCTTTATCCTCCTGTTTCCGCCACAGCCTCCAGATTACTATAAATACAGAGCCTTGGAACAGAAACTTGCTTTTCTCGAGGGCCGGGCTTTCAAGAGATTCGTTGTGCGACCATTTTTAAAGAAAGATTTGAATTATTTGCGCAATTATGGTCCTTTAACATCATCTGGAGATTTTTTTACTTTGTCATTTCATAGATTGAGATGTCTTCTTTCCCCTGGTCTTCCATCTGGTCTTCTTTCCCCTGGTCTTCCATCTGGTCTTCTTTCCCCTGGTCTTCCATCTGGTCTTCTTCCCCTGGTGTTAGACATGGAAAATTGGATCCTGGAATCCTGGAACATTAACTATGGCACACTTGTACTTGCTGCTGTTAAATTCAGAATGATTTTGGCTTGAGGACGTCGTTGAGGAAGTGGTTACACTGGTGGAGGTCGTGTTGTAATGTTCCACTGCCCTCTACTGGCCGGGCACTAGAACTACATCATTTCAGTCGCCGTGTAGACGCTTTGCACTTAAAATCCGGAGCAGGCTCGTTTTAGCGTCTTCATGTAAACGAGGCCTTCAGCCCTATTCGGACGGGATTAGTATTACATGGGGACCCCTGGTAATTAGTGATAATCCCGGAGGAGGTCTAAGATTTTAGTCCCGTGCGAATGCGCCACGTTTGTAATTTGTAAAGTAATAATTCTAAGTTTCTGCTCATTCTTTTGGTAATTGCTCCTTATCCTATTGTTTTATGCTCTACACACAATATACAAGTTTGAGATTATTAATCAGTATTTATAATCCTGTATTTGCTGCAGAGATTGACAAGAGAGATATTAGTCCATTTAAAAAATCTTCCTTTCAGCTCAAAACCATTGTATAAAAAGACATACAATTTTTTTCACTTTCTTTCTAAAATTAGCCTCAATCTACACTCTTACATAACTGCTTTTATTTTTTATTCAAAGCCGTCTCCGTACTGTCCTCTGCGCAGACAAACCTTGTGACTTGTCCGGATATTAGAGAAATATCGGAGGCTTACTGCTTTGAATCGCAGGCATCATGCGTTTGATATGATGTGATGCTATTTTTAGCTCCACTCAGCCGCTCTGCAGAGGCTAAAAACAGACCGCCATTCTACGCTTAAATATACATACAATAGACGCACTGCGAGGGGAGCAATGTGTTGAGAAACCTTATAATAAACGCTCAAGTCCTTTTTTTCAAGGTTTCAGGAAATGCATAAAACCTGCACATTACACAGTTCATTATCCTAAAGACATCCACAGAGTGTGTTTCGATGCTAACCTGCTAGCTCTAACAATATACTCCTGTCAGATTGGTCTATTTTCAGATTATTCAGCGCAAAATGAGTTCAATTCCACTTTTAATCAGGATCTTTCTGAGTGGAGTTTGCATGTTCTCGTATATCTGCATAGGTTTCCTCCGGGTGCTCCAGTTTCCCCTCCACTATGCTTTAGTACAGTAAGAATTTATTTCAATTGTTATTCTTCGGCACGTTGGCTGAGTGGATAGCGCACTCGCCTCTCAGCAAGAAGATCCTGGGCTCGAATCCCGGTCGGAACGGGGTCTTTCTGAGTTGAGTTTGCATGTTCTCCCTGTGCGTGTGTAGGTTTCCTCCGGGTGCTCCGGTTTCCCCTACCACTAAAAACATGCTCACTAGGTAAAATCCTCCAGCTCCGGTCCTGACCAAACCGAGCGGCAACATCTGGAAATGGGTTCCCGGGCGCTGTTACTATGGCGACCACTGCTCCTGACGTAAGCCTTAGCGGCATCAGGATGGGTCAAATGCAGAGGATAGAATGGCTCTATGGGGATTAACAAAGTGCACCGTTACCTTTATGCAATAGAAGACGATATTAACAATACGCAAAATAAAAACAAGCCTCATAATAAACAGAAATAAACCTTTTCAAACAGACTCCTCTCCCTCATTCAACACAACCAACACACACACAAGACACAGGCCCAAACACTCTCTGACCCCCCCACTCCTCACTCCTCCACCAGTTTAATTCTTATTAGTCAGTTTATAAACATTAAACATTAAAACAGTTCATTTGAAAAGAGTTTTTGTCAAAGTGGAAGCCTTCAGAAACAGTTCCAGATCCTACCCACATAAATATGAAGTGCTGTCTTCCCAAGTCTAGTCCCTGTGCTCCTCGGAGTCCAAGCAGGAGTCTAGTCCCTGTGCTCCTCGGAGTCCAAGCAGGAGTCTAGTCCCTGTGCTCCTCTGAGTCCAAGCAGGAGTCTAGTCCCTGTGCTCCTCTGAGTCCAAGCAGGAGTCTAGTCCCTGTGCTCCTCGGAGTCCAAGCAGGAGTCTAGTCCCTGTGCTCCTCGGAGTCCAAGCAGGAGTCTAGTCCCTGTGCTCCTCGGAGTCCAAGCAGGAGTCTAGTCCCTGTGCTCCTCGGAGTCCAAGCAGGAGTCTAGTCCCTGTGCTCCTCGGAGTCCAAGCAGGAGTCTAGTCCCTGTGTACATGCAGAGACTTCCTCACGTCTTGTGTTTCCTCTGCTGATTGTAAGAGTTAGCTCGCGTTAGCCACATTAGCATTACACATTTCTGTAAACCTCTGCTACGCTAATCTAAGTGCAGCTGGTCTCGTCCCTGTGTCCTCTCCAATGAACTCTGAACATTGTAAAGTGCTTTGAATGACCTTGGTCTGTAAAAAATGCGCTATATAAATAAACATTACTCACTTACTCTCTCCCACAGGTGTCGCTGAAGTGCAGAGCCACAGAAGTGTCCCAGGCCGTGTTCCAAAGCTACGAAGCCATTCTCAAGAACTGAAGCCCTCCCCGAGCACCGAACCAAACCCAGGCCGGCCCCGTTTCCACACAACACAACCTTCAGGGGCTAAAGGGCTCTTGCTTTTGAAATACGGAACAATGTGTCAAGAAGGCCGAGGAAACGACTTAGAAACAGGCGCATTGATCTAAATACAACACATCTGCACTGCAAAAAACAATATCCAGGCAAGTTTAGACCCGGTGTGACTGTCGGGACAAGGACATTTTTACAAGAAGAAAAATTGGACATAAGTTTATTCATTGAAACGGGGGAAGATAGCTCGTCCTGTCAAGTCTGTAAAAAAAACTACAGTAAATATATTTGTTAAACGCAAGTTAACTTCAGATATAGTTTTTTGCAGTGTATCGCGGTGGGTTCTCTCACTACGGGAGTGACTCAGGCTCGATCTGCGTATGTGAAATATTAATGCACATCGATCCCATGGGACTTTCCAGGCCTCTTCTTGCGTGGGATAAAAACGCCGGCTTCTTGTTGTCTCCTGCATGAGGCTTCTTTTAATCATCGCCTCCTTTTCCCATCTCGGCAAATTGGAGTCTAAATTTAGCAGCGAGAATCGGCGCTATTATCTGCAACTCCAGTGTCCCGCCGCGGAACGCAAAGAGACTATTGGTAATCGTTTTATGAAGTTGATTTGGATCCGGAAGCGAGCTTATGTAAGTGTTAATCTGTTACTTAGGCATTCCACCTTTTTGATTTGCGTGTTTTTGTGTGTGTGTGTGTGTGTGTGTGTGTGTGTGTGTGTGTGTGTGTGTGAGAGAGACGCAGAGTACAGCCACTGCTCCGTAAATCCATACAAAAATTAGTCATTTGTAAATTATGTTTTTGTCGAGGTTATTTCTTCATATATTCTGTCCAATCAAATGATATGATTTCGATTTTTTTTTTTTTTTTTTTTTTTTTTTTATATTCTAAACTAGGGGCAGTGTATTTAAAAGATTTTCACTCTAACCATGACTATATCCCCGTTAAAGCTGGAATACGTTTTTCAACTTCTTCCCGTCCGTCTCACAGCAAGTGCTAACCTGGGCCTGAACCAGACTGGATATAGAAGGGATAACCGCTCCTGAACAGCCAGCTGGTCCTGAGCCCAAAGAGTCAAAAAGTGACTTGGATGGTTCTTTCTTACAAGTTTGCATGACATAAGTTGTTTTTCTAGTTCACTGACAACATTGCGTACCTTTTGTGTGTACCTGTGTGTGTATATTTGGCTCAAACTGCAGTTTCTACAATGACTTTTTGGACGGAAAAGAACCCACAACTGTTACGTAATCTACATTTTCATATTGAATTGATTAAAAACAAGTAATATTTGTTTGTTATCCAGGCTTTAAACACTAAAGCGTCGTTACTTTGGCGTTAATAGTGCGTAAAAACAAATATGTTATGAAAAATCAAATGGAATTGTAACCCGCATTAAAACAGAAGTCCGTGGACATAGTGTTAAAAGCATAAGAATTCCAAAAACCTCACTCCGTTCTGAGATTTTCAAACGGATCCGACAGGTTTTGGTCTCGTCTCTGCGCCCGCGGAGAAGACGACCGTATCGATCCCGAACAGAACGAGCGCTTTATTCCCGCACAAACACGTACATTTCCAAACGTCTGGCCTTTCCCCAGTGCGCACAAGCTTTTCTAAGTCTAGTTTTAAGCGCTTTAGCGTCAAACGGGATTGGAACAAGACGGAAAATCTCCCCACAACCTCTGACAACGGCAAAAACCAAGATTCAAACTCATGATATAGCGTTCATGCAACAAAGAAATCTAGATATTGCAAAATTGTGTGCTAAGAAAAATAGAAAGTTTTATTTTGTTTTTGTTTGTGTAATTTTCACCAGAACTAAGGCCACGTGCAGTTTAATGAACGAGGAACTGGGACTTTTTATTATTTTTTTTTTATGCTGGAAAAACTTAACAAAAAGCCGATTTTTGCAGAACATATGTGGATTAAATCTCCGTATGTTGAAATGGATGATGAATGTCCCTCTGCTGTGTCTGCTCTCCACGTTTCTGTTCAAAGGTTTTGGATCGAGTGCTTCTGTGTTTCACGTTTGTGCATCATTTAAACAAAGGACAATAAAAAGTTCTCTATTGAAATCAAACGGATTGTATTGTTTTACTGCATCTGTATTTGTCAATTATAGAATGAAGTGAATCGACATGGGGTAGTACTAGAGTATAATAATAATCATTAGCCAAGAGGCTTTGTAGCAGCAGTGCTAATTTACACCTGTAGTCTCTGAGCAGTTTGTCGTAAAACGGTAAAAATGTGTTTAAAGCATAACCTCGGAGTTGTTTAATCTGCTTATATTGTTATGGTCAAAACACTCACACACTTATAACTTATTCTAAAACGGGGCCCTCCAACCTGTAGCTCGGGAGCCCATTTCAAGTAGCTCCCCAAAGGATTGAGTTGAACACATGATCCTGAATGATTAGTGAACTGATGTCTATTTTAAGTATAAATGTAGGGTTTATTGTCAAAAACATGACGGACGTGTTTCAGAATTTGATGCAGAAATGAGACCAAGAGTTAATTATAAAACAATATTGAATTATTTTTTCAATTAAATATGAATACAAAACTCTTGAGCTCCATTTCCCAAACTAACCCTATGAGCTGAGCCAATTTAACTCTCCCTCCAGGCCTGAAAATGTAAGTAAGTAATGTTTATTTATATAGCGCATTTTACAGACAAAGGTACAGACCCAAAGTACTTTACAATGTTCAGAGTCAGATATTGTTCCAATCCTTCCACACACGGTGAAGACAGAAGCGAGTCCAGAACACACTGGACCATCAGCTCCAACACCATCCATTCACTCTCTCATTTACATTCAGACCTATTGTGCAAACTCCACTCAGAAAGGCACTGTTCTGACCGGGATTCGAACCCACGACCTTCTTGCTGACTCCAGAAACCCTGGAGTCAGCAAAGGTCCTGAGGGGACATCCAGGTGCTCTGCTGAGACTGCACACAAAATGTCCGATGACGTCATATGGTGAGACCGACTGAGGCCCTGGTCTGGGTCTGGTCTAGTCCGGTTTTGGGTCTCAGGCCTTGTTCCGATAAGAGACATGCTGTTCCTAAAAATAATACTTATATCACAGAAACCAACATTGTCCTTGAACCTTCCCTGAATTCACCAAACTCAGGCTAAAACATTACACAAAGGCTCATGATAATCATTAGTATTTTACATTTTATGGATAACATTTCTGAAATCTACTTCAGGTTATACAGTATTATAGTAGTATTATAGTATATGTTCCATCTGTGTACTCCATGTTTTGTCCAAGTTATTATCTAGACGTTTACAACTACAAAAGGCGGAAGCTCTCTGTCACTTCTGTTGAATAAAAGTTGCTCTCAGAGTGAGAAAGGTTGGAGAAACTTTTCTAAAATATACATATTCTGTCCTCTATACTATAAGAGCCAGCAAAAGCTCCTTAGCAACGGTTGTCATGATCATATGAAGACACACAATGTGAAAAATAGGCCTTACGTTTAGAAAAATGTGATGTATTTTTATTGTACATTATATATCTTGCACACCCTGTGATTCTGTCGACGACAAACGTGACATGTACCTTTCTCCTTTTGTGAGTTCAATCAAGTTCATCTCCCCTTAAAACGATAGATATTTAGCATTTACTGGACCTTACAGTAACTTTATAATGTGGATTCTACTGTTAGTGCTGAATGCTGTGTGTTGCTATGGCGACGGCTCAGGTGGAGTGATGTGTAAACCTGTAATTTCACATGAGGGTCTTACTGCGGTGATCAGCAGTAGTTTGTGTTGGTGGAATCCTCACTGGCCGCGGTAAAATGTGTTTTAAACTAGGCCTAGACAAGACGAGCACAAATTTAAACCAAGATTGTGACTATTTATACCGTGATAAAATCTTAAACCGGTTTCTAGACATTTTACCCATTCACATTTGTTTTACATTGTTTTTGGGCCCGAAAATGCAGCTTCCTTGGAGTTCCCTTTCACACATCTGAACTAACCAGGATTTCACAGACTCCAAGGACTAAAGAGAAAATGGCTGACGTGTTTTAATTATAAGCATCTACAGCCCACAAAGGTTTGGCTTAAGTTGAATAATTTTATTGATCTCAAAATAGAGAAATTTGCACAGCATTTTGTAAAACTCAAGTCACATTGTTCTTCTCAGCAAGAAGGTCCTGGGTTTGACTCCAGCTTCAGACAGATATGTGCAGTTAACATTTCTCCTTATGCGTGCTTAGGTTTCCTCCAGGTGCTCCGGTGTGAGGAGAATGGAAAATACCGGTACTCCAAAACCAGTGTGAGGTGATTTGTGTGACCTTGGTCTGTGAAATGCACTATATAAATGTTAATATATTTCAAGTGTTACTGTCTCAAAGTGGTGTTTTACCAGAGCTTAAATATGTCTTTTACAAGTGATAAAGTCATCTTCAGCGAGCTCTCGTTAAAAATGCATGATGTTAAAGTGGAGATTCTCAAAGATTAATTTCCCACCATATGTCTCACCCCTGACTCTGGTCGATTACGCCACATGAGGGTTTCTGGAGTTTTTAAAGGGTAATATCATGTGTTTTCAGATGTGGTTTGATGAATGGATAATCTCATCCAGATCCAAAACATACATCCCAGTCCATTCATACACATGTCATACCAGGGTCCTTAAATATGGGCTTCTCGTGCTAAGTTCCTGAAATGATGTCTGTGTGAGATCACTGCCATAATCGTCAGTGGGAATTATAACCATCAATGTACTTCAATTAAACCAGGACCATGGACCGGACACTGTTGGACTGAATAATGGGGATGATGCATGAGTTTAAAAAGGCAGAACAGACCACTGCAGCTGTCCGCAGATCAGGCAGATTTGGAGTGTTTTGTGACGAGCTCATCTTCAGAGCATCAGTTTGAAATAATTAAACGGGAAATGTAAAGTGAAAGCATATAATGTAGATCAATCATCAGGTCTTTAAATACTCTCCATGTTTAACTTGAGCGTCACGTCTCCGGTGTTGCGCCTCACACGCTGCGCTCTGATTGGCTGCGCGCTCCCGCGGCTCATTGGCGGCATGAGCAGAGCAGGAGGAGGATGCGGAGAGGTCAGTCCAGATGCCTTCAGTGTCCGCTGTCCCGGTGCTGAGGCTGCTCCGATCACGACAGACACCTACGAGCGACCCCGCGTGCGCACCGCGTCACGTGACCGCGGGGATGGAGCCTGCTGCAGTGAGCCAGAGCCGCGCGTAAAGCCTGCGTACAGACGCTCCGCTCCTGGAGACATGCAGACCGGGGCTGAGGCGCCTCTTCCTCGCGGGGCTCGCTCCCTCCGTGGGACCGTGGCGCTGCGGGTTGCGGAGAAGCCCTGACGCGCTCTGCGTCCCTGCGCTGCCCGTGACACAAGTGAGTGGCGTCCTTCTTTGTTGTGGATGTATCTCATCAGGAGCGTGTGTGTTTCTGCGCCTGTCGCGCTCAGAGCTGGAGGCTGTTTTCACGTGAGCTGCTCTTCCATTTACACATGAGTTTAATTTAGATTTAAATGAGTTTTTAATTACACAACAGAATGACAGTGGAGGACACCGGGGAGGATGTCTCCGCATAAACCGCCAATCAGGGAGCACAGGGACCGCTGATTGGAACCAATATGTACCGAAGATGCGCATCCACAATCCCCTTTAGCCTTTTCAGTTACTTTCATCAAAGCAACACGGTGCAACTTTTTGAGAAGTGGCACAAAACAACACCGCAGAACATCCTCCTCGAGGGGACGGAAGTTTTATACTGACGACAGGATTCTTGCCTCAGGAACTACATTTAGAGTCAGGCGTTTGAACCTGAAAAGCCACTCTCAGTAAAGACGCATGTTGTTTCCATGGATAGTGATGATTTATAATGAAACCTGACATTTATTGCTTTATTCACTAACACACATGGAGATGGTGTCACTGGGGAGCTATTGAAGCCACAGCTGCCTGGGACAGATGGCTCCCCTGAACCGCCACCAGATTCCAGGCAGTGGCTGAAGTGTGTTGCTCAACAGAACCGTGACAGTTTTCATTTTAGAGCCACTGTTGCAATGTCTCCCATCACAATACTAACCAGGCCCAGAGCTACTTAGCTTCTGAGATCAGATGGACAGTTGTGATTTAAACATGTCTTAACATCTGTAAGAAAAGCTTTTAATGTACTCTATAATATATGTGTGTCTGTGTGTGTGTGTGTGTGTCTGTGTGTGTGTGTGTCTGTCTGTCTATCTGCGTGTGTGTGTGTGTGTCTGTCTGTCTATCTGCGTGTGTGTGTGTGTCTGTGTGTCTATCTGCGTGTCTGTGTGTGTCTGTCTGTCTGTGTGTGTGTGTGTGTCTGTCTGTCTGTCTGTCTATCTGTGTGTGTGTGTGTGTGTCTGTCTGTGTCTGTCTGTCTGTCTATCTGTGTGTCTGTCTGTCTGTCTGTCTATCTGTGTGTGTGTGTCTGTCTGTCTATCTGTGTGTGTGTGTGTGTCTGTCTGTGTCTGTCTGTCTGTCTATCTGTGTGTCTGTCTGTCTGTCTGTCTATCTGTGTGTGTGTGTCTGTCTGTCTATCTGTGTGTGTGTGTGTCTGTCTGTCTATCTGTGTGTGTGTGTGTCTGTCTGTCTATCTGTGTGTGTGTGTCTGTCTGTCTATCTGTGTGTCTGTCTGTCTGTCTGTCTATCTGTGTGTGTCTGTCTGTCTATCTGTGTGTGTGTGTCTGTCTGTCTATCTGTGTGTGTGTGTGTCTGTCTGTGTGTCTGTCTGTCTGTCTGTGTGTGTGTGTGTGTGTGTCCAGCGGCTGCATGCTGACCGCGGCCTGTGCGATGGTGGAGACTCTCAGTATTGCGGTGATCGGGGCCCCGGCCGTGGGAAAGACCTCCATCATCAGACAGTTCATTTACCAGGACTTCTGCGAGGCCTACGCGCCCACGCGCTCCCGCCTCGTGCACCGTCCCGCCGTCATCCTCAACGGGGCCATGTACGAGCTGAAGGTGTTGGACGTGCCCCCCATCAGTGCCTTCCCCTCCAGCTCCAGCCAGGTCAGCACTTTACTCTATTATAAGGATCAACATTATTATTATTATAGCATTAGAATTATAATAATAATAATGCATTGGTTTTATAAAGCGCTTTTTGGACACTCAAACACGCTTCACATAATTATTAATTCGCTCCATACACAGTGGTGATAAACTACTACTGTAGCCACAGCTGCCCTGGGGCACACTGACAGAGGCGAGGCAACCAGTCTGTGCCATCGGCCCCTCCCACCACCACCAACCATTCATACACACACCAGACTCATTCTAGGCAATGGGGATGAAGTGTCTTGCCTAAGGACACAACAGCAGTTTCGCACTTTACAGCCGCAGCCGCCCCACTGTGGCTGGTGTTCCCAGAGTGTCTTTCCAAGATATGGATCTATAATAATAACTGGATGGGCACAGGGGGCGCTGTGGTACTGCAGACTAAATTCACATGGGCTACCCAGAAAAAAGCTCCATAGAACTCAATGTAAACGAAAACAGTTTGACCTCAGCTGACAGAGAACCTGACAGAGAACCTGACAGAGAACCTACAGAGAACCTACAGAGAACCTACAGAGAACCTGACAGAGAATCTACAGCTTTCATAAAGATCAGATTTTGTGGAGATTTTACTGTCCCTTGTCATTCTGATTTTTTTTTCTTCTTAAATCCTTCGGTTTTCTTTAAATCCACACTTTACTGCCACAAACTCTGCTCCTTTCCTTCCCGCTCTGACTCCGCTCTGCTGCTGTTCTGATCAGCTCTGATTGGTCAGAGCGTGGCCGAGCCCCTCTGTGTACGTGCATGAGAGCCACACCTATTTGGTGCAAAGCATCATGGGAGCTCGTCCACTGCACAGAACCGGGAGGACCAGACGATGCCCAAATATGGGCGAGTTCTGCTAATCTCCCGGTCTCCGTGAAGTCCCATGAACTACTGAGCAGAAGCCATTCATTTGAAGAGGGCACCATCTTGGATCACCGGGGCTTGTTCCAAGGACACAACGACAGCAGACATCAGTGGGAGTCGGTGGAGAAAATCTCGAACCCACGACCTTCAGGCTCAAAGGCAAATGCTCTACCAACCGAGACACTGTCGCCCCAAATTATGACATTCAAACGTTCCATTTCAAGGTGAGGTTCAAATGTCGCTCTGTAGATTTCGCCGACACAAGGATCGTTGCATCAGTTTCTCCTTTGCATAAATCAATTATTGTTCTTCTTTCAGCAATTATTATTCTGTATCTTCTCACAGCAACAAACAATATAAATAAATCATTTTAAATTGCAACAAATTATTGAATTTCAGACCCCGACAGTTTGAGAAACATTGACCAAAATCACTATATATTTTTAATATTTTGTGCTGCCCTTCAGACAGAGGTCAGGAACTGATGGTCTGGCTCTCAGACAAATCTAAGCAGGTATTAACAGTGAGAATGTTTTAAGTATTGGATTTATTCTGCATAAAAATGAGTAAATAATATAATAAATTCTGATAATACTTTACACTACAAATGTGCTGTTCTTGTTTTTAAATTTATCACATGTTCACAATAAAAACAAGTATATGGCTCCCACAGAAATACATTTTAAGATAAGATAAGATGTGCTTTATTTATCTCACAGAGGAGAAATGTACATGTCACATTTGGCATGGATAGGACACTCAGATTGTGCAAAAGGAGGAAATGTGCAAACATGTTACATGCAGGATATATATACAATAAAAGTGACAATAATTATGTACAACAAAAGTGACAAGTGTCAATAGTAGTGCAGGTTTTCACACAGTGATCATTTAAAGTGACTTGTTGTACAGTCTGACAGCGGTGGGGATAAAGGCCCTGCGGTAGCGCTCCTTCCTACACTGAGGGGGCCTCAGTCTTCCACTGAAGGAGCTCCTCAGCTCCTCCTCAGTCCTGTGCAGTGGGAGGTGTTGTTCATGATGGAGGTGGCTTTGACTAGCACCTCCTGTCCCTCACCTCCTCCACAGAGTCCAGGGGCCTCCTGTCCCTCACCTCCTCCACAGAGTCCAGGGGCCTCCTGTCCCTCACCTCCTTCACAGAGTCCAGGGGCCTCCTGTCCCTCACCTCCTCCACAGAGTCCAGGGGCCTCCTGTCCCTCACCTCCTCCACAGAGTCCAGGGGCCTCCTGTCCCTCACCTCCTCCAGAGTCCAAGGAGCAGCCCAGAGTGGAGCTGGCCCTGATTTTTTTTCTAAGTAGTTCATTAAAATGCTTATTACTACATACAAGTTGTTATTATAATCCGTAATTTAATTGAAAACTTGAGCTCATTGATTCAGCTGTTTATGAATTCAGGCCGTGAAAAGTGCTGAGTAGAGACTTAGCGTGACTGCAGTTCATGCAGAGTGATCATGGGCCTCTTGGCTGCATCTCTGATCAGTCTTCTCCTTGTTTGAGATGAAAGTTTGGAGGGACGGCCGGGTCTTGGTAGATTTGCAGTGGTCTGATACTCCTTCCATTTCAATATAATTACTTGCACAGTGCTCCTTGAGATGTTTAAAGCTTGGGAAATCTTTTGAGAGGCATCTGGCTGCAGACTCCCCCCCCCTCGCAGACCTCCCTGTTCAGCCCCTGTCACGTGACCTCCTTCAGGAGCCCCTGTCACGTAACCTTTGCCATGAGCTACTGTCACTTCACTCCCTGGGACTTGAAAACGTTTTTCTTCATAAAGTTATAAAGCTTATATTTAACATATTGTATATATTTTGTAACAAACAAAAATAGTGACGTTGGTTCCACAAATTGTGACCAGGTATTATGTATATGAGCGTTTTCATCTGGGCATTTGGGATGCCAAAGAACAATTCTGTTGCCATTTGTTTACAAGAGCGCCACCTACATGTCACCCATAGTATAGAACATGAAAACACGTCGAAAAGACAATATATATGGAGATACCATGGCGAGGCTTTATTATAGTCAAGAGCTGCAACTTCCATTCATCTATATTATTCTCGCAACAGCAAAAAAGTTACATAGGTACCCAATATTTCTTTTTTTCTATTATTTTCTAGAGGAATAAGAGTTAGCTAGACCTAATAGGTCTACTCACATTTTTGATTTTCCTACCGTTCTGTAACCTGTGATACAATTCTGAACATTCCCCGTTTGTGGTGAATAAATTATCTCAATGATAAAGCCGTTCAACTATTTATTATGCATTCACAATAAAACACCCCTTTTATCAACACATTCAACAGAAAAGAGTTCCATGTCCTCAATCCAAGAGAAGACAAACTTGAAGGGCTCCAAGATGTTCTCATGCTCCTCACTGTCCAGGTCAAAGTCTCCCTAAACTGAGAGAAGTCTGCTTGTGTCTGGTAAAGGAAGTGACGTAACAGGGGCTCCTGAAGGAGGGGCTCCTGAAGGAGGGGCTGAACAGGGAGGTCTGCGAGGGGTGGGGAGTCTGCAGCCAGACTCTCTTGAATCTTTTTGTATCCAAATCCGGCTTTAAACTTCTCCACAACAGTATCTCGGACCTGCCTGGTGTGTTCCTTTGTCTTCATGGTTCTCTCTGCGCTTTAAACAGAACCCTGAGACTATCAAAGAGCAGGTGCATTTATACGGAGACTTGATTACACACAGGTGCATTCTATTTATCATCATCAGTCATTTAGGACAACATTGGATCATTCAAAGATCCTCACTGAACTTCTGGACTGAGTTTGCTGCACTGAAAGTAAAGGGGCCGAATAATATTGCACGCCCCACTTTTCAGTTTTTCATTTGTTAAAAAAGTTTAAATTATCCAATACATTTCATTCCACTTCACGATTGTGTCCCACTTGTTGTTGATTCATGACAAAAAATTAAAATGTTATCTTTATGTTTGAAGCCTGAAATGTGGCGAAATGTTGAAAGGTTCAAGGGGACCGAATACTTTCGCAAGGCACTGTAGAAACATAGACACCAGGATGAGCGAGTGTTCTGTTAAATGTAAGTCAAAACATCGGGTTAGCACTGTCCATCTGTGTAAAACATTTACCTCAGTCCATTCCATTTTATTTATATAGCCCATTTCACAAAAACAGTTTAGTACTGCAAAATAAAAATACATCAACATAAAAATCCAAAATAAAGTAAAGTTATAAACAAGCATGAAAGTACATTCAATTCATAACAAGAATTAAAATAATGAATAATGGGGTTTGGGGGCAATCACTGGGGTTGAAGACCACAGAGAAGGCCGTGTCCCTCGGGTTGAAGACCACAGAGAAGCCCTGTCCCTCTGGTTGAAGACCACAGAGAAGCCCTGTCCCTCTGGTTGACGACCACAGAGAAGTCCTGTCCCTCGGGTTGAAGACCCCAGAGAAGGCCGTGTCGCCTCGGGTTGACGACCACAGAGAAGCCCTGTCCCTCGGGTTGAAGACCCCAGAGAAGGCCGTGTCCCTCGGGTTGACGACCACAGAGAAGCCCTGTCCCTCGGGTTGAAGACCTCAGAGAAGGCCGTGTCCCTCGGGTTGACGACCACAGAGAAGCCCTGTCCCTCGGGTTGAAGACCACAGAGAAGGCCCTGTCCCTCGGGTTGAAGGACACAGAGAACGCCCTGTCCCTCGGGTTGAAGACCACAGAGAAGGCCCTGTTCCTCGGGTTGAAGGGCACAGAGAAGGCCCTGTCCCTCGGGTTGAAGGGCACAGAGAAGGCCCTGTCCCTCGGGTTGAAGACCACAGAGAAGGCCCTGTCCCTCGGGTTGAAGACCACAGAGAAGGCCCTGTCCCTCGGGTTGAAGACCACAGAGAAGGCCCTGTCCCTCACTTTTCTCTCAGACTTCAGCTCGAGTTGAACGACTTATTCCACCTGTAGCTTCACTTCGACTTAAACAACATTATGAAGTACTTTCTCTTTCACCGCGGGTATTCGTGCCGTGCTCGGTGCTGATCGCGGTCTCACTGTAGTTGCCATGGCGACGAGGAGCCGTGGACTCCCCTGTACAGAGGGAAGCCAGCTCGCACGTGTCGCTGTGATCCTCTGAAAACACGCGTCAAC